TTTATTCCTAAATATTTCATCATTTGTGCAGCTATTGTAAATGGTATTGCTTGCCTAAAGTCCTTTTCAGTGCTGTCATGGTTACTATAGATGAATCCAACTGATTTTTGTATATTGATCTTATACCCTGCCACTTTGCTGAATCTTCCAATGAGGTCAAGAAGTGTTTTTTACTGAGTCTTTGGGCTTGTCTATGTATAGAATCATATCATCTGAAAATAGAGAAAATTTTACTTCCTCTTTGCCAATTTGTATGCCTTTAATTTCTCTATCATGGCATATAGCTCTGGCTACAACTTCCAGCACAATATTAAATAAGAGTAGTGACAAAGGGCATCCTTGTCTGGTTGCCATTTGCAGAGGGAAGGCTTTCAGTTTCTCTCCACTGAGAGTGACATACGCTGTTGGTTTTGTATATATGCTCTTGATATGTTGAGGAATTTCCCTTCAATTTCTACTTTGTTGAGTGTTTTTATCAGGAATGGATGTTGGATTTTGTCAAATGCATTTTCTTCATCAATAGATATGATCATGTGGTTCTTTTCCTTTTTCTTATTTATATGAGGAATACATTAATTGTTTTTCTAATGTTGAACCATCCTTGCATTCTTTTTATGAAACCCACTTTGTCATGATATATTATTTTTTGATGTGCTGTTGGATTCTGTTGGCTAGGATTTTGTTGAGAATGTTTGCATCTATGTTCATGAGGGATATTGGTCTATAGTTTTCTTTCTTAGTTATGTCCTTCCCTGGTTTTGTTATGAGGATTATGCTTGCTTCATAAAATGTATTAGGGAGTTTCCCATCCTCTTCTATATTCTTGAATAATTTGAGTCAAATTGATGACAGCTCTTCCCTGAATGTTTGGTAGAACTCACAATCTGGATGTGGACTTCTTTTAATTGTGAGTTTTTTGATGACCTTATCTATTTCTTCTTTTGTTATGGGTTTGTTCAAGCATTCTACTTCACTCTGAGTAAGTTTAGGTATTTCGTTTG